CGTCCTGTCCAAGTGGCCCTGCATCTTTCGCCCACTCGGCTTAAAGGGTTGAGTTCCAGGAAACCTCCGCCTTTGCCCCACTCGGCTGCCATTGGCCTAAGGCCCTTGCCTCCTTCGTGGCAGCATGTGCGAGCGCTGGCCGACCAGGCCTCTCAGTGCGTCGCTCGCAGGGATGCTGCGGGGGCAGTGTCGCTGCTCTCTCCGCGCTACGCCGCCTGGGCTGATGTTGCTGAGAGAGATAGTTGCTGCCTGTCCTAGGCGCGGATCTCCTGTCCTTGGTCCGAGGTCCAGGGGCCCGCAGTTCTCTTGGAATTCTCTCGTCAACAGGGATCACATGGTCAGAGACCCGAACTACCAGGCGGTTCGGTGGCTCAGCGACCAAACTCGTGCTTATGCTTCGCTGTGGGACTCGAACCAAGGTGATGGAGCGCAGGCGGTCAGGCTGCTCTCTTCGCTTCGTTCCCCGCCTGCTTTTGTGCAAGTGGGCGCTTTGCACTGTGATATGTTTGATGCTGTTGCCGTTTCTTCCGTCTGCCCTATCGGCCCCCGAGATGCCTCGGGGGCGACTTTGAGCGCTCGGATCGAGGCGGCTCTTGAGGAGGCCAAGCGCACCGCTGCCAACGAAGCTCGCAGCAGCTGGCAGGCTTGGATTCGCGACGGCCTCGACGAAGGCGCTAGAAGAGTTCATTCATGTATGCGATGTCCGTCGCCGTGGAAACCGTCGACCACGTTATCGTCGAAAGGCTCCGTCGTGTCGGATCCGCTTTCTCTCTCTCTCTCTCTCTCTCTGTTATCGGCGGAAGGGTTCAAGTTTTCGCCGTTCTGGGGTCGTGGTGATGGTGCGATCCGTGGTGTTCCTGAGCTCGTCGATCCCCTCCCTCGCCTCAGCGCCGACGACATCCGTTCGGTTTCTCGTAAGTACAAGAAGATCTCGGCTGTGTTCTATGACGGGTTCAACTGCAGGCATTTTCAATATTTGTGCGATGAAGCTCTCGATTGCCTGTCGTTGCTTTTTGAAGTCATGGAGAGCGTCGGTCAGTTGCCAGACCAGATTTCGGCCATGCTGCTGGCGCTGCCCCCCAATGCCACTGGCGGCTACAGGCCGATAGGGGTGCTCTGCATCTGGCGCAGGGTATGGGGCCGGTGCCGCCGACCCCACTCCTTGTACTGGGAGCAGCAACACCCCCGTCGGTACTGGGCCGCTGGTGAGCACAGGGGAGCAGCAGACGTAGTGTGGCGGCAATCGGTTCGGTCTGAGCATAGCACGGCTAGCAAAGAATGCTCGTGTTCGGTGTTCTACGACATGCTCAAGTATTATGCGACTATCGATTTGGGTACGCTCGAGGCTAAATGCAGGAAGCACCAGCTCCCTCTGGCCATCGCGCGCGTGTGTCTCCTTGCCTTCAGACGCGGGCGCTTTTTATCCTTGGGGGGGCTGCTGTCGGGGCCCTTCCATGTGCAGAAGGGAGTGGTGGCGGGGTGTAGTTTCGCCACCACCTTTATTCGCGTGTTTGGGCTGGGCGTTTTCGACTACATCCCCGTCGCTCCCAGATTGGAGCTAGACATCTACATCGATGATTGTGGTCTCTCGGCTTCGGGCTCCAGGAGCAACGCCGCCCAGGCCATTGTTTCGGGGTCTGTTGCGCTTCACACTGCGATCACTAACATGCTTGGCTGCAGTCTTGCCCTAGATAAAGTTTGCACGGTTGCCTCGAATCACGACATCGGGACTGCCGTGGCCAAGAGGCTCAATTAAGTCTCTTGCTCCACGGGTTGAAGATTATGCCGCCAACCTCGGAGTCGATTTTGCCGCGGGTAAACCGATTCGCAGCAAGGGGCGAGGGAGCACAATCAAGGCGCGTGTGGCCACGATGTGGAGAAGGGCCAAACGGCTCCAGAAGCTGTCGGGCACCTTCGGCAGGAAAAAGCTTCAAGATTTTTGCCGCGGGCCCCTTGGCCGCTGGCACCTACGGGTGTGAGATTGTGGGGGTCAGTGATGTTGACCTGCTCGATATGAGGCGTGCTGCGTTTTCACAAGCGCGGCCCTTCGCCCAGGGGAGAAGCCTTACTGCTTGCTGCATTCTTGCTTCGGACCCGACGTGGAGGGCGGCCACAGCGCCCATCCTTCGTTGGGGCAAGCAAGTGTGGCTCACGCAGGCCAGGCTCTTTTTCTGGTTCTTTGTCTTTCCGTGACTTGCGGGAGTCATGGGAAGCCGTCAGGGCTCGGCCGTGGGCCGCGTGGGCGACGGTGGCTGGGCCCCTTAGTGCGATGCGCTAATCCCTGCTCAGGCTAGGGCGGCACGTGATTGATTTCTTGACCATCATCGATGATAGAGGCAGGGAAATTCCGTTAGGGGTTACGTATCCCGCGCTGTTGGCCATCCACTGCCGCGGGGCCTTGCTTCGATCCTTGGAAGGGGACTTGGGGGACAAGTGGGGCGCTGGGGCTCGCTTGTGCCTCGACGTTCCTCGCTCGGCCCTTTCCTCCAGTAAGTATACCGCTAGGGACAAAGGCATGATCCGTGCTCTAGCGCGCAACGCGATATGGACGCCCGATCGAGCCATCATGTGTGGATGCGTCATTAGTGACAGATGTATTTTTTGTGGTGGGAGATTGCGGGTCTGCCCTCATGTCGCAGACTCGAGAGCTGAGGTGGCTGATCCAGACGTCATTGCCTCAGCTTTGGACACTGGGGCTGCTGAGTACTCGGCCAACCTTTGTTGTCATGAGGCTATCGCCCATCCCGCCGATTACCTCCCTAGGCCGTGCAAAGAGGGCCAGGTCCAATCCAAGTGGCACCAGGACGTGCTGGAAGGCCCCGAGGGCCCCGAGGTTGAGCAGGCTGAAGCCATCTGGGGCCACATGTTCCTCGACGGGTCCTGCTTGAGGCATGAGATTAAGGAGGCTTAGTAGGGCCGCCTGGGCAACCACCATGCGCGATTCTCCGGGTGCTCTGCTAGGCGTCGTCAGCGGCCCTGTGCGGGGCCAGCGCCCGCAGACCCCGCAGGCGGGATACTATCTTGCGAGGGGTATGGCAGGCAGTCTTGTGAAGTGCAGCTCGTTTCTTTACAGCGATTGTTTGGATTTTTACGGTGCACTCCAACCTTCCCTTGCTTGCCAGACATTCGGGCAAGAGAGCGTGCAGTGGAATTCTGCCGGGGGCAAATGCTAGAGAGGGCTCCGAAATCGAGGAGCTCATCAAGGTGGCGGCCCACAAGAGCCTCGAGGAGGCAGGCCTGAGTGCTCAGGAAGTTTTCTTTCGCAAGTGCAACAATGACACAGATGTGGCTGCTAAGCGCGCTGCGGGCTTCATCCCGTTGGCGCCAAAAAGATGGAGATGGTGGACGGGCAAGTATATCGAGCTAGGGCTGCGTGCAAGCTTGCTGCCCGCCTCCTTCTCGAGTGGCCTCGGCTGGACCTCTCGAGCGCCCCCGGGCTTCCTGCCCCTGCCCGTGGGGCGCCGTGTTTGTCCTGCGACAATCACCACGATTGGGTAGAGCGGTCTGGGCTGCGGCGCTGCCGTGTTTGTCTCTTGGGCAGCCGAAGGGCTGACCCTCGTGGCGGTGCCTGCCCAGGCCGCAGCAAGTTAGATGAAGGGGTGCTGGTTTCGCTTGGCCACTGGGTCCTCGCGTTTCCGTGCTCGGACGGATCCCATCTCTTCATGTGTATGCGATGCAGGTTCCACAGCGCAGGAGCGAGGGTCGACGGCCTCGGCAAGAAGTGCAACGGGAAGCCATCTCGTTACGCCGAATACGCTTGGCGAGTTTTGTGCAACAAAGGGCGTCGCCCGAACCGCCTCAGGAAAGCGGTCGTGGTGGATGTTTCTGCTGTCTTGGGCTTGTTCGGCTCGGAGAGCCGTGCTTCGGGCCCGCCTTTGGTAGTGGAGGGCTCGCGAAGCTCAGGGTCTGGAGGGCCCCTGCCTGTGAGCCCTGGAGGGGGAAGAGGAGGAGGAGGCGCGAGCCTTCTCGGCAGCGGGGGCGAGCTGGAGGCCCCGTCCGCGTTGGCCGCGATTCCTAGGGGGAGCGGGGTTGAGTCGGCTGGTGAGTCGGGGGGGGGGGGGCGCTAAGTCTCGCTGTGCCGTGGGGCCTCCACGGCGCGGCGCTGCCTGTGCCTGCTGCTGCGTCCCCCCTGGGCCCTCCCAAACGGGGCTCCGTGGCCCAGGGTCCGTCTCATCCCCTCGGGTCCCTGGGGCGTGCCCACCCGAGGGGGAGCGCTTCTAGCGAGTCCTCCTTGTGTGCTGTTGTGCATGCGCGTCGTCAAGAGGAAAATGTGCAACAGCTAGTCAGATTGGTGTCTTCAAACGTGGATTCCTCCGACTAGTGCACTCCTGCGTGGCGCCGTCGCTTGCAGGAGTCTGATCAGTGTGCGCCGTCGCACTCTGGTCTTGTTGTTCGTCTCTGTCTTTTTTAGGGGCGGCCTTGCACTGCGTCATGCCCCCAGTGCTCGAATCGAGCGGCAGTGGAAACGCGCGCGACGCGTGCGAGTGGTCCCAGTCATGATGTGTATAATTCGAAAGGACCACGGTTCGCGACAGTTGTTTCTCTTCCGCTCATCCCGACGAGCCTACCTATCTTCGCCCTCTTCCCTTCCCTTTCGCTCTAGGGGTGAGATTCAGAAAGGTCTCTGGAGGTCCCCAGATGGAGGTTGGCGGAGGTCCCCAGAGAGGGGGGAAGAGGACAGGACGCTTGCTGCCCGTCGCGGGTTTTGCCTTTTTGGGTTTTGTTTGTTTTGCTTGAGGCGGGGCCTGAGGACCAGCCATAGTTGCTCGTGCTGTTCGCGTGCGCGCGAGATGGGGTGCTCGGAAGGGGCAGTCCTGCGATCGGGAAGGCGAAAGAACATTTGGACTGCTCGATCAATAGTTTTCCTTGGCAGGTCCGCGACTTCCCAAACGTACCCGGAACCGGACCTTCGACGATCGTTCGTCGACGACGTCGGCGACGCCCGTCGTCTGTCGTCGCCGCTCGGCCGTCGTGGGAGCGCACGCGGCCTATGCATTCAGGCGTTCCCGGACTCGGACGCCCACATCTACATCCCCGCCTCGGCCGCCGGGCAGGCGCGATCTTTTTCTGCGACCTCCCGCCGCCCTCCAGCTCCTCACCCCTACAATCTTGCATCGCGTTCGCAAGGCACTGCTGGTATGCAGCCGGGCCGAGGTATATGATCGAGGTCGGTTCGGGGAGGGTCCCCCAGTGTTCGCCGTGTTTGTTAGATGTTCTTGTGCATCCTGGGGGGGTACCCTTGGATGTTCTGCTGGTTTTGGCCGACGGAGGGTCTTATGTTCTTGAGGGGTGTCCTTGTGGCTTAGGTCCGACGGTATACTCCCCCAGTTGTTCCTCGACTGCTCGGCACCACGGCGCCACCGCTCCGTTCCTACGGGGTCCGCGCCCCAGCACGTACAGACGAGCTTCCGCCTCCGTCCGTCGGGCCGTCCGTTGGGAGGTCGCCATGAAGCAAGCGGATGTGAACGGAGATGGGTCCCTGGCATCGCTCGGACGTGTGCTCCCTTTTTCTCGGCGAGGACCATCAAGGAGCATTTTGCATCATCCTGCGAGTGGAAAACACGCACTAAACCGAGACACTCACGGGGAATGGACGTCCGAGCGATGGCGAGGAGGTGCGCCGCGCTCCCGGGGCCCTTCACGGGCCTCGGCACGGTTCAGGAACGGTTCGGCAGTGTACAAGCTGATTCCAGGAGGAGGCCCTTGTGTGTCCAGGGTACGTCTCCTTCATGCCAATCGGCGGCCAGCCCGTGGGTTGGAACTGATATAGGGTGCGGGTCTTCTCAGGAGGCTCGGAAGCCCCCCAGCCTTCCGAGAAGTTTTCCTCAGCCCTCCCCCGATGACACGGAACATTTCTCGGAAGGCGCGCGGGTTCTTAAGGAGTTCCGGCGCCTTCTGAGAGGGCCTTCTTCTTCCCTCACGATTTCATTGTATACCACACCCTCCCCGCCCCAGTAGATTCCACCGCTCGAGGCCATGTCCAGTATACAACAACCGCGTCCCAGGGAGGGAATTCCGTATACCATTCCCGCGACCAGGACCTTCGCACGCCCCCCAGAGCTTCTGAGTATGGTGTACAATTGTTCCCCACATGTTTCGTGAGGTTTTGGTTTTCTCCCCTGCCGCGTCGCACCCGCGTCTCCTCCTCCCCCCCTTCTTCTCCCTCCTCCCATCCTCCTCTTCATTTCTCCCCTCACCCACGCGCAACACATGCACGGTACGTACATGAGACACGCGTCTACATACAGCCGCACGCATGCACACACTCGCACACACACACAACATACACCGCCAGTGCGCGCCTGGCGTGTTGATTGTCCACCCGCGAAGATCATACCTCACCTCCCTTCTCCCGTCCTCCTCTTCCTTCCTCCTTTCACCCACTCGCAACACATACGCTGCACGTGCATGAGACACGTGTCTACATACAGCCGCACGCATGCACACACTCGAGCATAAACACACCATACAACGCTAGTGCGCGCCTGGCGTGTTGACTGCATCATGCACCCAAGACGTATGCGCCACATACTGGGCATCCAGATGAGACGCACGTCCAGATACGGCCGCACACGCATCGTACACATACGGATGACTCAGTATATACAATATAAACGTGTAGGATTCGCAGTGGATGGCAGGGGTGGCAGGGGTACCATAATCCCACAAGAGGAGGTGCGCCCGAAGGCGGCCGCTATCCGAGCCGAGCGCCCAGGGCATAGCAGGCGTGGCATATTCTCGACACCATAGGGGGTGCGAAGGGGGTGGTCCCTGAGCGCGGCCGCTATGCGCGCGGGTCGTCCAGGGCATAGCAGGCGTGGCATGTTCACGACACCGTAGGGAGTGCGCGGGGGATGGTCTCTAAGCGCAGCCACTGTCCGAGCCAGTCGTCCAGGGCATAGCAGGCGTGGCCCTTTTTGACACCATAGGGAGTGAACAAGAGGTCGTCCTTGAGCGCGGCCGCTATCCGAGCCGGTCGTCCAGGGTATAGCACATAGCAGGCGTGGCAGATTCTCGACACCATAGGGGGTGCGAAGGGGGGGGTCTCTGAGCGCAGCCGCTATGCGCGCGGGTCGTCCAGGGCATAGCAGGCGTGGCATATTCTCGACACCGTGAGGGGTGGTCTCTGAGCGCGGCCGCTATGCGCGCGGGTCGTCCAGTGCAAAGCAGGCGTGGCACTTTGTGCAAACGATAGGGGTGCGCAGGGGTGGTCTCTGATCGCGGACGCAACGCGCGCTGTTCGTCCAGGCGTAGCCACCGTTGCATTTTCTCGACACCAGGTGCGCAGGGGGTGGGGTCTCCCAGGGCTTTCCCGGCCATAGCCGGGTGGCGTCACCCGATCAGAATTTGCCAGCGAGCCCCGATTCGACGACCTCGGTCCATGCCCTGGACAGCAAGCGCACTTGGGAGACATTAGTACAAGCATGGGTCGAGGAGATCCGGATGTCATAAGGGAATCCAGAGCGAGGACCTAATTTGCGTGGGTGCAGAGAAAACGTTACGCCTGCGTTCGATCAGGCCATGGCATTACGCGCTCTCGCTGACAGAGTGTGCGTCGGGCATGCACACTGGGCGCGGGCCTCGCCTCTTCGCTGGGGCTCGTGGAGATTTTGTGCCGAACGCTTCCGGCACTGCTTCCCGCAACTTCGCGCGCATGCAGATTCGAGGCTTTCCGTCGACAGGCTGCGCCTCGCGCGAAGAGACTCGAACCGCATTGGTTGGGCGGCCCGCGTAAGTGGCACTTGCCCCTGGGGACGTTCTGTCGAAGCGGCGGCATGTGAGCCGTTCCCTGTGCGATGCCCGAAAGCAACTCAGTTTCGGCGTTTTTTTGTTTGTTTCGTTTCTGGTCGCACAGCGCGTCAGGCTCCCAGGGCTTGACAGGCGTCACCAACGGCATCGGCGGGGCAACGGCCACCAGCATCATCTTCGCATGTTTCACTTCAGCTATCATCACGCCAGACATATCTTAAGTATGCGGGTTTCTTCGGTCGCGTAATTTTCCGGGCGGGCCGACGCATTCCGAGAAGGCCCTCTTCTTTTCACTTCCCCCCTTCGCTTGCGGCCGAGCCGAGGGAAGGCCCCTGGTCCAAGGGTCCAAAGGAATGCCCCCGAGACCACCCCAAAACGGCCCAAGAGGTTTCCAAGAGGGCTCCAAAACGGCCCAAGAGCGCCCCGAGACACTGCCGGATGGGTTCCGCAGACGGCCCAAGAAAGGGGACACGAACCCAACATCTGCGTTTTCCGCCCCAAAGGGCCCTCGGGAGGCCCCAAGAGGCGCGCTCGCCCCATGGTCCCAGGGGGAAGGCCGCCCGGTGCAAGGCGCGCCTCTTTCCTGCCAGAAGGGGTTGGGGGCGGCGGCGCGACGGCATATCGAGTAGGAGATCGACTGCAGAATTGATTGCCCCAGAATTGATTTGTTCCCGCCGCGGGCGCTCCGCCCTCCAGGGGTGGGCGCCGGCGGCGGCAGCCCGCCGCGAGATCGCGTCGCTGATGGCGGCATTCGGGTGGGAGAGATCGGCAAGTGTGTAAACGTACGAGGGTCCGCGCGGATCTCGCGGATCGGCGCGGGACCCCCTCCCGTACAATCGGACCAAGGTATCAGATCGAGGTCGGCTCGGCGAGGGTACCCTAGTGTTCCTCGTTGTTCTTGGATGTTTTTGTGCATCTGGGGGGGTGCCCTTGCACGTTTTGTAGGTTTTGGCCGACGGAGGGTCTCATGTTTTGGAGGGGTGTTCTTCTGGCCCAGGTACGACAGTATGTTTATGCAGGATCATCATCTCGCTGTACACCTGCGTCCGGCGGGGTTGGGCCCGCCCGCGCCCTCCCCAGGTTGTCGGCCGCGGGGGCGAGAACCTCCGCAAAGTCCGGGAGTTGTGCAACGTGCACCTCTCGCTGGTCGGCGAGGGGCGGGGGCCCCCCTCCTCTTTTGCCTCCTCTTCCTCCTCTTCATTCTCCCCCCTCCCCCTTCCCTCCCCATGCTTGTCCTCCTCGTCCTCCACCTCCTGCTGCTACTGCTGCTGCTGCTGTTGCTGCCCCCTCTCCTCTTCCTCTCGTTCCCCTCACCCATTCCCCCCTCCTCCCTCTGCTCTGCTCCCCTTTCCTCCCCTGCGTTCACTTCTCCTCCCCCGCCGCAGCCCCGTATTTCCTCTGATGCGTATTGTGATTCCTATCATGATGCGCGCAGGTCCTCTGAATGATATTATTTCTGGTGTTTGTGATCATGTGTCTCCGTATTACTATTTGTATGGTTATTATGATTATTAGTCTATTCGTATGGTTTGTTTTCGCAGTCTTGCTTTGTTATTTTATAGTTATATCATTGGTGTCACTGTTATGTCTTAGCGTATGTGGGTCGTGACCATGATGATTATGAGTGGTGGTTTTATGTTTCTTGTATTGTTATTGTTACGCGTCTTAGCCTGTGTATGTATTAGTATGCTTCTTATGTTACTATCATACCTATGTTTTTATCACCTCTATTACTCATAGTAGTATTGTCATAATCGTCATTCTTATCATGTCTCCGCTTCCTTTTCTCTCCCCCCTTCCGCATTGCACCCTGCCCCCATTCTCCCCCTCCTACCCTTCTTCCTCCTCCCTCCTCCTGGAGGGGGCGCGCGCGTCGGGGACGGCTCTCGCCCGCGAAGGGGCCGAGCGGGACGTTCCAGAAAGGGGAGGGCTTAGGACCGATCAGTCGGTAGGCTCGTGGGCATCCTTGACGGACGTCCTCGGGAAGCACGGCGGCGGTGTCCTGGTGCGCTTTCCGCGTGAGGCCGTCCGTCCTTGGGGGGGCGAACGCGACGCTCTCGAAGGGATCCTCCGGGAGGACCGAGGACAGAGGGCCGAGGTCTCTGATCCTTCTCGGGCGCCCTGGCTGGCCAGGGCACGGCGGAACTGTCTGGGGTGCGCCCTCCGCGTGGGGCCGCGCGAGAGGCCCTCCTGACGTTGACGGGTGGCTTGCGGCGCGCGGGGCCGGGGTGAGCGCGACAGCAATTTTGGGGCTGGCAACGGGGGGGGGACATTCGGGAGCGGTCGGCCCTTCGCAGGCCTCCAGTGACTCGAGGACCCAGACGGCATCGCGCTGTGGAGCAGTTGCGGCGGGAGGTTTGTGGCCATTTTCTGCCTCCCTTCTGGGAGCCCTCACCGTGCCCTGGGGGTTCCAGACCTTTGGGGAGCCATTTTGTGACAAATCATGACCTCGGGTGTCTGAACACGCAGGGCGCTTTCGTTGGCGCCTCGCGCTGGGCGCGTCTTCGCCGCCTTGGGCGGAATGCCAGCGAAACCAACACAAGCCGGCAAAAGTACGTCGGCGGCAGGCCCGCCTGAGGAAGTCGGCGGAAGTATATAGTTGATTCGGTCATCCCCCCAGGCCCACTTCTGACCCACTTCTGGTGGGTTGGCTCAAGTTTAAAAGGATCGCGGCCCGCACGGCGCGCGCGCCCTCCTGGGCGCTCTCCCCCAGCCGGCCGACCTCGTTTCATCTTTCTGTTAGGTCGAAGCTTAACGGACACCCTACCACTCTCATATAGCCATGGCATGGAGGGATACATCACCGACTTTGAAACTGATCAGGATCAAACGGCTGCCACAGTAAGAAGATTACGCGTAGTTGCGAGGCGATCATGATCACAATTTGCTTATCAACATGGTCAAGAAAGATTCCATCGCAACAGCGAATTGGAAAAGCACTGGTAATCAGCCGTGAATGCTGTCTTCGACGTAAATGGTTCTACCGGATGGGGAAGCGATGGCCCAACCAAGGATGATGTACGCCCCGAAGAATGATCGCGCCATGATCTGAGCGTGGACGTTCCTGAACACGGCTATGCTGACAATATCACGGAATCGAGCCAACGTTGATCAAACAAGATTTGCTCGAATCTCTCGTGCGATGATGAGCTTCGTCCTGGTATTCCGAAAATCAAGGGCACCACTCGACCCGGCCGAGACGTGGAATATGAAAGGGACATAACGCCGCTCGAGGACCAAGCTGATGTTTCCAAGCACCTCTCGGACGGCGACCGCGACGTGGAGGCCATTTCATCGGAGGAAAAGTATTCGCGCAGGTCAGCGCCCAAGCCGATTGGTTTCCATGATGATCAGGGGCCGCTTGATGAGGAACATGAGGTCTATGACCAAGCATATCCTGTTACATTGGGTGGTCTCCATGAGCTCCCTGCGCAGCGAACGACCACGCGCGGCGAGGATGATGCGATGCCATCCGATGATTCTTTGGAACGGAATGTGGAGGAGATCATAGATGAGGGGTTCGTGGGTGGCCCTGTAAGGACGACGAGCAAGCAGAAACGTGAGCCTATTAGTTGTTCGATGACCTCGCCTCTCGGCAAGCGAAGTCAATTTGGCGACGTCCCAGAAAACCACCCTAAGTCCGTTCTTGGGGGGATGCCCGGGAGCTATGCTCTCGGGACCCCAGGGCGGACCTTGACGCTTGGAACGCCTGACTTACGTACCCGCTCTCCCCGCAAGAGAAGACCCGAGAGAGGCAGACCCAGGGCCCCAAGATCGCGATCCGACATGTGTGATTTGTCAAACCTATGAGGAAGACCGAGCGCCTTCAGCATGCGAGTCAACGCCACGTGTGCCATTTATTGACCAAAGTGTGCTGTGGTACCAGCGTCGCGGTGCCTTGGCCTATCGGGCCAGTGTAAGAAACATGTCTGCTTCGGGTGCTCCGATGTCTGCGGCCTCTGCAACCTAAACTTCCAATGCCAGAGAGGGAATGAGAGAGAGAGAGAGGGAGAGAGAGAGAGAGAGAGATCGCAAATAGCTAACAGCATACACACGGGACGTATCTAGATATATCTATATATATATAATCCGCACGTGGACAACATGGGGAACTTAGAGGGGCAACGACAACATATAACGAGAGAGAGAGAGAGAGATATACAGAGCGATATATATATATATATATATAGAGAGAGAGAGGGAACCAGACCCCCCGTGGGCGATGTCCTCGCGCTGGCTCGCGGGTGCCAGTGTGAGCCCAACGCTGATTGAACTTGCTGTATATATATATATATATATGAGTATTGTTCGGTACAGCCGATCACGTAATTTACCTCATGCGCTCAGGCTATAGTTGGCTGTTTTGAGTGCGCTTGAGAATCAGTGCATGGGAAAGTAACTAAGGCCAGTTGCGCAGCAACGTCGCGTTATAGGTCGCACAAGTACGAGCAATCAACAACAAGGTTACCAGGACTATCCGCGTAGGGTGGGCTTGTCTCAACCGCTTAGGCCGCCGGGGACCCAATATTCGACCCTGAACCAGCAAAGCTGGCCCAGGGAAGAGGTCGAGATCCCAGGCTGGGACTTGTCCAGATCCACCGCCTGGGGAACCGATCCCACTGGACCTCGGGAGGTGGTGGATGTGGTTATGCTCGGACCCGTTGGTTCGAACCAGGAAAAAAGAACCTCACAACTATCGACTTTCGGAGGTCTGCGCGGATCTCCTGGATCGGCGTGGGCCACCTTCTCCCGCGCGCGGCGCGCGCCATGGGGCAACGCATGAGGCGCCGCCCAAGGGTCCCCAGCGCCGGCCCAAGAGATTCGCGCGGACCTCCGACAGTTTAAGTGTTGTGCCGCTGGTTCCTCGGCGGCGAGCCTGGGGGAAGTGTGAAGGAGACTGCCTTTTCAATCGGCTCAGAAGCCCCGCCGCCTTCTGAGAAGGGCTTCTCCTTATCATTTCCTCCCCTTCGCTCGCCGCCAAGTTCTGCATCCTCGAGAAGGTTTCCCGGGGAGGCCCTGCCAAAGGCCTGTGGGGGAGGCCCTGCCCTGGAGAGCACAGGAGTACATTTTCAGGGGCGGTCGCCCGCGCCATCGCCCCGCTCCCTGCGCCACGGGGCCCGCAGAAGAAGAAACCCAGGGACCCCTTGGCGCAAAACTTCATTGGATCCCCTGAAGGCCCCCGTCCGCCATTCCTCCTCCCGCCCCCACCTCCTTTTCCTCCTCGCCCCCCTCCGTCAGTTATCCCTCTCTCTCGTTCCTCCCAGCCCCGCCTTGCTCATGCTCCTTTTGCTCCTCCCTCGAACGGTCCTCCTCCTCCTCCTCCTCCTCCTCCTCCTCTTCCTCCTCCTCCTCCTCCTCCTCCTCCTCCTCCTCCTCCTCCGCCCGCGTGCTGGAGGAGGCTCCCCGCTGCGCCGCCAGTGCGTTCCCCCTCCTGTCGGTCATCATATTCGGCCGTCTTCTCCTCCTCGTCCTCGTCCTTTTCCTCCTCCTCTCCTCCTCCTCCTCCTCCTCCTCCTCCTCCTCCTCCTCCTCCTGCTCCTCTCCCCTCCGCCTCTCCCTCCCCCTCCTCCTCCCTCCTCTCCTCCTCCTCCTCCTCCTCCTCCTCCTCCTCCCTCCTCCTCCTCCTCTTCCTCCTCGCTCCCCCTTCTGCTCCTCCTACTCCTCCTCCTCCCCCTCCTCCTCCTCCTCCTCCTCCTCCTCCTCCTCCTCCTCCTCCTCCTCCTCCACCTCCTCCTCCTCTTCCTCCTCGTATTAGTTTCAAAGACGTGGGTGCCCCCGACAGGCCCGAAGGGGTCCTGGGGCGCCCGCCCGTTTATAATTCGTCGTCCGAGCTTGTCGGTTGTGGTTGGGCGATGACAGCTCGAGCTCCCGCCGCGGGGCCATCATGTCGTAGAGTCTCTTTGCTCACGGTAGGTCGCACAGTCCTGAAGTTCATCGAATCGTGGTTTAAGCTCGAGTCAGTTCGACCTTCGGCCCGACACCGTTTCGCCGCCGCCGCTGCCCCTTCTGTCGCTCATACAGCAGGCAGAAAAAGTAGGGAACGCCCCCCCTCTCTCCCCCGAAGTTCGAAGTTGGCGCGTCGGGAGACGACCGCGGCGGAGTGCAACATCAGATCCCCCGCCAACATTGACCATCTGGGAAAAGGGGGAATCTCATATGGCACGAGTGTTCGCTATCTGTCTCCAACGCCTGTCCGTCACTCATCCCTCCCAGCCCCGCTCTGCTCGTAATTACCCCTCCTATTCCTTCTGCGAACGGCCTTTCTCGTCCACCTCCTCCTCCTTCCGTCTGGCGACAGTTCTCGCAGTCGGACCAAGGTACAAGATCGAGGTCGGCTCGGGGAGGGCCCCTTCGTGTTATTCGTGTTTGTTGGATGCTCTTGTGCATCCTTGTGAGGGTCCCCTTGGATGCTCCGTGTGCTTTGGCCGATAGAGGACCTGCACTGTCTTGAAGGACGCTCTTCCGTCCTAGGCCCGGCTGTTCTAATTGTCGGTCAACCATTTTGTTCAGCTCTGACTCCTGAGCTACGACGTTGCAATAAAGTGCAACATCGCAAAAATCACGTCCGGAGCCCCGGACCCCTTCTTTCTGCGTAATTTGTCCGGGCCCCTGGACCCGAACTTTTCGGGCCCCGGGACCCTCACAACGGCCGGCGCGCGCGCCATCTGTGCATTTTGTTCCAAGCCAACGTGAGGACTTCCCAGTGTGAGAATGCAGAACTATCCACCCGCCGCGCAATGTGCGCTACGTTGCGCCATGCGGTGGGCATGTGCGAACCGCACCTGAAATTGGACATACAATCGGTGCGCGCTCGGTGTGTTGGGAAACCAATCGGATATTTCCGTAGGACCCGACGGAATGTTCGATGAATCCGTTGGCAACAGGACGAATCGACCCGCTGGAAAGCTAAGCAAGCGCAACGAATCACACATGACACCAACAATTGCAAAACTACTAGTTCCACTGAACTCAAGGAAACCAAACTGAAACTGCTGGCGCTATGGACCCTGCTTCAGAATGCAAAGCGAATCAGTTCATGCAACACTAAAAACACAACTCTGTTGCTTGGGCTGCAATTCTTGGGTAGGTCAATTTCGTAGTGGCTTTCCGACATAAGAAATTGCAAGGCCAGGATTTCAGGCACCATGCTCAGCGAAGGGCCCAGTCGACCACGGGGCCGCCCTCCCGAGGTCCGTGAGCCCGAGACGAACGCCGCGACCGGGCAGCAGGAGCGCCGGGCGGGACACGTCAGTCCACACATCGGCCGGGCTGTGCGCCTTCCTTGGGGCTGCGACTGCCCAGCAGCGGGGGGGGAACGCAGGAGGGTGGGGAGCAGCGGACGAGGAGGAAGGGAGGAAAGGCGAGGGAGGAGGGGGAAGCGGAGGGAACCGGAGGGAGGCGGAGGAGGAGGGGGGAGAGGACGAGGAGGAGGAGGAGAAAGAGGAGGATGAGGAGTCCGAACCCTGAGATCCTGGCGATCTGATTTTTTTGAGCTGGGCGTTTTCGCATTATTTCGGGCCACGCGGCCCTAACAGGTCCAGCCAGTTCGAAGAATGGCGCAGAAACATGGGGTCTACGGCTCTAGACGTGATTCTTACGCTTACGCCACACCGCCGACCCCTTGTTTATGCCAATCTGGGGGTAGTAGAAGCTGCGAAGGGGTGAAAAGGCGAGTGATATTTGTTTGGTGTCTGTTCGCCGACACCGCCAGAGGGTCTCGGGCAGTTCCGCGGGGGGTTCCGAGCGGACGGCGACACCGCGGGCGGTCGTCTTGTATCGGGATCTCGCGGATCGCTTCTCGGGGGGCCTCTGGAAGCGAGTTTTGGAGCCACTTGGGGGCCGTGTCGGAGCCTCTGGGGTGTTTCTTGGGGGTTCCTTGGGGCGTCTGGGCGGCCTCGTGAGGGCCTCTGGGGGCCTCTTGGGGCACTCTTGGGGCCCCCTGGGGCTCCTGGGGGCAGAAGCTAGAGTTTCAACATGTTTGGTCGCCCTCTTGGGCCCCTCTTGGTGCCGTCTTGGAGCCCTCTTGGGCCGTCTTGGGGACCTCTTGGGCCGTGTTGGGGCCGTCTTGGGCCGTCTGGAGGCCGTCTTGGGGGCCTCTTGGGCCATCTTGGGGCTGTCTTTGGGGCCTCTTTGGCCGTCTTGGAGCGTCGGGAAGCCGAAAAGGCGGAAAAGCAAAAAACATCGAAAAACACTATGGAAAATCAACAATTTTAGACTCTTGGGGCCCTCTTGGGAGGCTTGTTTGGGACCTCGGGGGCCGTCTTGGAGACCTCTTGGCCCGTCTTGGGGCCATCTTGGGCGTCTTGGAGCGGTCGTTTGGCGTCTCGGGGCCTTCGTGGGCCGTCTTGGAGGCCTCTTGGGGGCTTCTTGGCCCGTCTTGAGGCCCTCTTGGGCCCGGAAAAGCCCCGTGAACCGCTCGTCCCGGCCGTGCTGCGCTCGTCCCGGCCGTGCTGCGCTCGTCCCGGACCCCCCCCCCCCTCCAAATCGACCGGACCGGGCTCCCGGGGGAGGGGTTTGGGGAGGGGGAAGCATCTCACACGCCGATGATCCCCAAGGGGTCGGCGGATTTTCTACTATGCTGTAATTTTTTCGCTGCGTCGGAGGGATTTGTTTCGCTGCGTCGGAGGGAGGAGGGAGCGGGGAATGGGAGGAAGGGCGAGGCCTTCCACACTACACGCGTGCCCCTATCGGGGCCGCGCGTTCGCATCTTGGGCGGGGAGATGAATGTAGGAGTCGGAGGCGCGGATTTATCCATATCGCCGCCTGGGGGGTCGGGTCGATCCTCGGGGACCTCGGCAGTCGGTGGATGGATATGCATACGTGCACCCTCCCCCCACACCTTGAGCCCGAATGTTCTACCGTAGCATCCCACGGATGCGGATCAGAGTGAGGGGGCGGTGGGGACGTCGGCAGTCTGCGAGACTCTGGAGAAGCCCGCCGCAGGCGCCAAAGTTGCACATAGACAACCAGCCCGCCGCAGGCGCCGATTTTTTCGTTAAACCAATGTGGGTAGGTCGCGGGTGTGTCGCTCTTGGGTCGCGGGAGGATCGTGGGTGGGTCGCGGGAGGATCGCGGGGGGGGGGTCGCGGGTGGGTTGCAAGTGGGTCGCGGATGGGTCGCGGGGTGGGTCGCGGGTGGGCTGCGGGGTGGGTCGCGGGGTGGGTCGCGGGTGGGATGACGGCAACAAACAACGCAACAACGCAACAGCGCAGCAACGTAACAAACAGAATCCTCACCACGGATCCCCACTTCAGCCACGCACCCAGGGACAATGGGTGACCGTTCGGCCCCCTCACTCTGACATATCCACCGCCTGCCGAGGTCCCCGAAGATCAATCCCCGGGTCGCTGGGTTTGGACCCCTCGCCAGGACTGGGGAGGGGCTCTGTGGAGCTCCTTTGCCTGTCCCGAGGGGCCGAGGCTGCTCCCCGGCCGTGGCGCACCACCCCAGAGGCAGGGCCGGAGCCTTGGTCGACACGCGATGCGCCGCCGATGCAGGGTACGCACATTGCGTGCACCCGACGGCGTAAAGCAGAGGGAGGCGGAGGAGGAGGAGGAGGGGGGAGGAAGGAGGAGGAAGGGAGGCAAGGCGAGGGGGGGTGGGACGTGGATGAGGAGGGGGAGGGGGGCGAAGCCCTCAGAAAGTTGCTCGCCACTTTCGCCGCCTCCGCCTCCTCCTCCCACCTCCCTCCTCCTCCTTCATCCTCCCTCTTCCTCTCTCCTCTCCCCCTCCCCCCTCCTCCCAAGGGAGGAGGAGGAGTTGGATGATGCTGCTGATGATGCTGATGATGCTGATGATGGTGAGGATGAGGATGAGGATGAGGATGAGGATGATGATGAGGATGAGGATGAGGATTATGATGAGTATGAGGATGAGGATGATGCTGATGATGATTGTGATGGTGATGCTGATGGTGATGCTGATAGTTATGGTGATGGGCATGGTGATGGTGATGATGATGATGCTGATAATGATGTTGCTGATGATGATGATGACGACGACGACGATGATGATGATGATTATGATGATGACGATGGTGATGATGTGTTCCTTGGTTTCAGCGCCTGGAGTTCCGCTCCGGGTCTCAGGGGCGTCATAATGTACATTTGGTATGAGAAGTAGAGAATGGACGGACTCCCACCTGCGGCGAGGTTTCTTCACATGTTGCTTCGAGCCTCGCAAATTGCCGACGACGCCCTACCACCGTCACTCTTATCCGCAGCTGCGGGGCAATGGTCTGGACATATGTTAAAACGTGTGCACACACGTATTTGTATGCACACTTACATGTGTACCGAACTACATGTATGCATAGACACATACAAATAGCATGGTAGCAAGTGTGGACCCCAAACAGTGTGCATCTAGCAGTCTGTGCTCTGCAATCCGTCTATGTGGAGCCATATATGTGGTATAATACATGTGGTGCAGCATCTGCAGTGCAATATGTGTGGTGCAAACTATGTGGTGCGATCGATGTTGTGCCATACATGTTGTGCAATATAGGTCATGCAGTATATGTGACGCAGTATATGTGGTGCGATCAATGCCGTGCAATCTATGTGATTGCCGCCAGTGGGGCGACCCTGGCCGTCCACGCGGTTGCAGGGCTGCCAAAGGGTGTCGAGTGGGAAATGGTCCGTCTTCTCCGCGCCGCTGAAGGGGCATCGCGACGGCTGCGGTGGCCTGCCTCGCGCGTGCTCCCGACCCCATCCCTGTGACGGCGGAGGCCGAGGCGGTTGCTGTGGCCACTCGGCTGCGCCGCAGGCCTCGCTGTCGGCGTGGTTGGATGGGCATAGAGCAGTACGGGGAGCTGAACGCTGACGTGCATCCTGGTGCGAACGACGACGCGAGGGTCCCGTGAAAGCGCCCGTCACCAGAAGCACGGAGGCTGCCGCGAGCAGCGGCAGCGCGGCGGCTGGCAGCGGGCGCGCGGGCCTGGAGCTCGTGGAGGCGGCGGCGCTGCCGCTGGCGACGACAAGGGGATAAGCGATTTGACCGACGAGTGGGCCGACGCGGCCCCTGCGCAACGAGCCAGGCCGCCTCCGAAGCCGCCAGATCCGTCCATTGCCCGTGCCGCCGCAGCCGCTGGCCAGCGGGTGCAGGGTGGCGCGGGCCCCATGGGCGGGGGTCCAGGGGCGGTGATTCCCTGGGTGTTCCTGGAGGACGCGGGCGAGTCCGACCTGGCGAAGATCTCCTCCTGGTGCCGCTGGACGGCGCTGGCGGTCCGTCGAGTGGGCGCGAGGCCCGTGGGGGGCCCGTGGCTGGGGGCGGCTGCTGGCGGCTGCTGAGGGGCGGCTGCGGCGGGGGGTGATTGGAGCCGAGGTGCTTTTGGTCGTCTGCGGTATCCACAGTGATGCGTGCCAGATGAGCTGGGCGGGCGGATCCGCGACCGTCAGCCAATGAGCGCATTCGAGCTTGCGTTCACGGCAAGTCAGTAGCAAGAGCGCGCTATCTTTGTAGTTTAAGTATATGTGTTGCAACCTACGTGGTGCAGTTAATTTCTGTTCGCAGTGAGCTGTCCACTCTACAGCTCGCGCAAACATCCCACCCACCCACCCGCAACTTGGTTTGCAAAACCTCTTAAGGCCGTGACGGCGGGTACCAAATCTCACTTGGCGACGACTCCGACGCCGACAACAACAGAGACACCGACGACGACAACGCCGCCGACAACGACTACGACGACACCGACGACGTCTCCAACGTCTTCGATGACGCCGACAACGACGACGACGACGACGACGACGACGACGACGACGACACCGACGACGACGCCGACGCCGACGCCGACGTCGACGACGATGACGACGACGACGCCGACGACGACGACAATGCCGACGACGACGCCGACGACGACGACGAAGACGACGACGATGACGACGAAGACGACGACGACGAGGGAGGAGGGAGGACGACGACGGCGGCAACGACGACAACGACGAGGGAGGAGGGAGGACGGCGACGACGCGAACAACGAAGAAGGAGGGAGGACGGCGACGCCGACGACGACAACGACGAGGGAGGAAGGAAGACGACGACGACGACGACGACGACGACGACGATGACGGCGACGAAATAGGCGGGACAACGACGAAACGCCGACGAAGACGACGAGGGAGGAAGGACGACCACGGCGACAACGACGACGGAAACGACGACGCCAGGACGACGACGACGACGACGACGACGACGAGGAACGACAGAGGACGACGACGGCGACGACGACGACG